CCCGCGACCGGTTCAAATATTGCATGCCACCGATACAAGCCGTAGCCGGGAATCAAAGTCAGGAACTTTGTTTGGGAGTGCAGATTGCTTAGCATAGCTCCATTCCATTTAAACACTCGAAAAACTATTTTACCTGTGCCACACCACGGGGAAGCAGATCATTGTCGAGGATACAATGAATGTAAAAAGACAAAGGAATGGGGAAGGGATGCCAGGACCGAAGTCCCCAAGACGGACAAAGAGGGCAAGGGCTCAAGATGAGGGGAGGGGACGGGAGGGGAGAGGCGGGGCACTGGACAGTAAAGGTGAGGAGAGGGAGCAGGAATGACCGGGCAAAGATATTGGGGATGAGATGAGAGGGCAGGGGCAGAGAGGGAGAGAGAAGCAAGGAGCGAGCAAACGTCAAATGCACGGAGAAGCAGCGTCTGTTTTTACAGGGGGCGGGGAAAGGGGAGGGATTCAGAGTGGGGGTGGCCACACATAAGTCACGTAATTTAAGGGAGGCTTGTGCCAATTTACATCGAGAAATACAGCAAATATTATAAATATAGTGTGACGTTATAATGATGGTGCTATTTGTTTACCCAGGAAAGCCATAGAGTATGAAACCTCTATGAAAAAGATCCTGCATTGTGGTGTTTTTACCAATTCCATTTTCGAGGGATAAGCATGTGGCATGTGGGAGGACCATGTAGCATGGCTAGAAAGCTAACCGTTGATTCAAATAATACTGTCGAGTCAATGCTTAAGAAACACCCACTAACATAGAATTTTCAAATGCATGTTTTGTTTATGTAGCTTCATAATGGTTATCATATCTAGGGAAATGTGCCAAATATAAGATCTCGGAAAATTCTTAAGAATTTAGGTTGGCTCCATTATGGAGTAAAATCACTTCCGTTACTGTATCACGCACACATGTACTCGTACCACAATTTAACGTAATCAGCGGTCCCTGGGGCATGAAAAGTAAACATGAGATTCAGCCTGAGGGCTGCAATGGCCATAGAAGGCATTGGCGACAACAACAAAAAAACTTTCGAAGTTTGAGTGTGGGAATTGGTTTCAATTACCCCGCTAGGTTGCGCATAGTAGCGCCATTGGACCGCATGTGTGGCCTCCCTCCATCCCTCCATGATGGTAAATACTTGGAAGAGAAAAAATACTAAAAACTGTAAACCCAGTGAAGCGTATTAAATCTCCATACGGTATTTTTTAAGGGTCAAAGCCAAATTTCCAAATACTTGCTTTAGAAATTAGCGAGATGCTGCCAATTGGTAAAGGTGGATCCCAGCAATTTTTTTTGTTCATGCCACTACTCTCGAGAACTCCCTCTAGAGCGGCGCTAGTGTGGTCCAGGGTACCACTACCCAGCGGTCCACAATGGCTCCTCCACGTGGTTTCGCAGTGGCTGTGATGCAAACGCAGGTTGCTCTGGACAATGACAAGGTATTATTATACCTTTTGATTTGGGCATCAATTCATATTTTACTTATTTTGAATTTGTTTTATTAAGTTAGGTAAACTACCCGCATTAAATTACCCTAACTCTAAGATGTAAATGCCACCCCCTAAGAAAAAAATGTTAAAGAGCAGCATTTGTATGTTCCGGTAATATGAATCATTTTACATTATTGCCATTTAGAGATAAGCAAATGCGTTTTGTTACCAGGAGTGGTGGGGGTTTGGGTGGTCTGCGGAAATGTTTGCATCGGCCGAGTGATCCGCGGGACCAAAAGAGTTTGGGAAATGCTGCCCTCGAGGGCCAGTATATGCCTTATCTCCTATGCTGCTTGGACGTCTTGGAAGAGGTGGGCGTCCCCACACTTTGCCCCACCACACGCGGCCTGCCGATCGACCGACTGTGGTGAAGCCGTTAATACTGCTCGGTGGACAGAGGTGGAGGGGTTGAAAAGAAACGTGTGGCCACAGAGCTGTTGAGTGGGGTAACGTGGACGTCCAGAATAAGCACCTCATTCGCACCTGCTGGCTATGACATTCCTCCTCCTCCTCCTCCTCGAAGGCACTGGCACAACCATCAACCGCATCATAACATCAACAGGCCGATGCACACATCTCCTTCAGAAATAGATCTTTAAAGACAAACCACAGTGTAGTTGTGGTCGTGCAACCCAACCTATGGACCATCCCGGTCAACCACTGTAGTCTGCACTCCTTCCATCGAGGAATAGCAAAACTACCTCTCCTAAAGTAATCTACTAGCTAGCAAACCTCGACAATGGCATTTGGCTCCTGGACACATTGAACAGTGGAGTGGGAACAAGGATTGTCATGGACCTGCACACACAGTCTCCCGAATAAAGTACCTTTGTTGAAGCCACTAGCTTTGAACGGCCACATATAAATGCAGCACATGGATGCTAAATCAATTTCCTTGCAGGGTTCCTGCGAGTATCCCAAAGCGCATTATATGCCAAGACGGGCGAGTACATTCCTGGTCACTCCTCCAAGGGGACTCTCAAGTTACAGTACATGTAATGACATCCTGCTTGCTCAACCTTATTTTGCTCCAAATCTGTCACGAGCTGGTGGGATCATCATTTGGTGCAGTGTGGCTGCTTGACATGGATTTGCAACAAATGCTTTCACTCTGCTGCTGTGTAGAACAGAGTCAATTAAATGGATCTCAGAGGTAGCTCTGCGATATCCGCTTCAGTGGGCCATTCTTCAACACAAAGGAATGCACTGCTCTGTGAGACAACCTCACCCCTACCGTCTCGTGACATGACACCACTAGCAAAATTGGGAAAGAAAATTGGGAAACAATGAAAAACTAAAACATAAAAAATACAAGTGCGTTCTACTATTTTATGATGCTGCTACGTTGGCAATGGTGCTCAAACAAAAAACTCACATTCGTCAATAGTGCATGTCCGATGAAGAAGGGAAATTACATAGATTTTATAAACGCATGTGTGTTCTTTTAAGGCAGTGCGATAGACAAATGTTGCACTATCAAGTGAGCAAGTTCAGCGATTGTGCAGAGATTTGGGCCAAATTCCACAGTTATACCGGACATTATTAACACCGTGCATGCTATGTTGTGTAGAGTGTTTGTGAACCGATTGGAATTTAAACGCACGCTAAATTACTAATGCAATACAATTAGTCGTAGTTTATTTTTTTCACCCTTGCTGAGCATGTTAAACTGGCAATATGCACAAAAGCATTTTAGAATACCCATTAAGATGTAAAATTGTATTTTACACTCAACGGTAGAGTACCAAAGAATGTTATAAAGCCAAAAATTGTTTAAATGTTGACTTTATTTTGGTACAATATATCCACTAGGTGGCAGACAGCCTTAGTGAAGACCTCGTAGAGCACGTTATCATGGGTGTAAAAAAAAAACCTACGATACGAACATATGTTGGATATTTCTCACTAAAAGCCATAACTAAAGAATAATAATCACATTTTACACAAAAAAAACATGGAGTAATAAGAGACACGCATTAAGGTTTTATGGACATTTCAAAATTAAATCACATCTCACGCACGGTTTTCTGGAAAACAAGGTGTGTCCCCCGTCATTATATTTATAAAAGCGAAACATTATCCCACCAGACAGACCTGTCTAAAATCCCGAAACAATTCAAGCTTAATGTGACCACAAGTCAGACTTTAGGTTTCCCATACACCCGTGTTATGTCGCAAGTCTCAATAAACACAAGAACAATTCACTTCTGCACTGCTCTGGGCCAAAAAAAAACCTCAAAAGTTCAACTCGGTTTACTTGCGTGGAATCTGGGCGGTTGTGTGGGTTAGGCGAGGGGAGGTTGCTGGTCCTTAATGGGAGAGGAGGGGGGTGGGGGAGTTTGTGTCATTTCTTCCCTTTCCCAGAAGTGATTGAAGCCCGAGGCTGGGTGGCTACGGCCACCTCGCTGCATAACAAGCATTTGTATTCCACAAAGCCCCATAATAACGGCTAATAAAGCTGTTCACCTCATTCTCACACAACGGCTTCTCATGCAGCTCTAATTCTCACAAGGTTCTCGGCACTGGAAAATGTTAAGTCCAGTGGCTGGTCTCTTGTTGGGATTAACTTGCTAAGTCAGACACTACCGCATGAAGTATTGTATCTTTGCGATCTCAACAGGCCTCGTTTCAAATACTGTATATTATTTTAATCTGTTAGGGGTGAGGCGGTAGTGCAGTAGTTCACACACTGAGCAACGAGCCCAATGACCCGAGTTTGATTCCTGGCCACAGCTAACATCAGCGGCGAGTGATATCTTAATCAAGCCGCACTGAACAGCATGGTGAAGTATCGTCAAAACAACCCTGACACAACATAGAGAGGATTTAATGCAGCAATAGGTTGACAAAGGGCTCTAAATTATTATTACTGCTCGCTATAAACACTCATTTATAAGATTAAGACTCGTTTTTTAGGAGGGTCCCGATTGGGATGTTTGGACGATTCCTTTTAAAATGTCACTGCAAAACGACAGAGCATATTAAATTGGGTTTTAAAAACGGAATTTCACGAACCTTCTTGCTATGGGAAGTTATAAATATCGGTTTGACGGTCATGTGACAATCCCAGTGCAGAGGGCTGCGAGGCATTATGCTTCCTTATCTTGTAAAAATAAAAAAATAGCCACTTGTGGGATTTTTTCTGGGCGAAATCCTGTGAGTTATCACTTCTGGAAGCGCTCTCTCTCTCTCACGCACGGGGGGGGGGGGATATGACGTTCTGCGAGATTTCCAAACGGATTCCTCATCTCGTGACACGAGGCCCGACAGCAAATGCGTAATAAGTTGGTGGAAACAGAAATTAAACATTTCAAGAGTGCAGAGCTCCAACCATGTTTTATACCCCGGTGAGTGTAAACCCCTCGGCCTAATTACCACGGAGTGGGCAAGATCACAGAACTTCTCGAAATAGTCTGCCAGCCTCTTGGCTCCCCCACCATCACCACCCCCGCCCCTCCCACCCGTAGTCATTTTTTTTAGACTTCCATTGCAGTAAACCCACACGGACATGTGTTTGAGATTTAGCCACACTGACAAGTGGAAACGTTTGACGATAGAATATTTTTGGTTATCCCATGCCATGTGTCCCGCAGTTTGACTAAACCACCAACACACATGCTCTTGCGTGGAGCCATCACTGCCCTTCGAGACGAGCAGCAACATCGGTGCTGACGGCGTGGTTCTTTGCAGAGTTTGGGCCCGAGATCTAATCGCTCGTGGATTTGGGGAAATAAGTTTGGATGTCAAGGGACAATTATATCACCGATGACGTCTCGATTGTACTGTGATGGGAGTACAGTAATGTCGCCATTGGATGATGAGAAGACTCTTACTGGAACTTGTCCATCGTGTCTGAAAACGAGCTCAGAAAATGGGAACACAGAATTACTTCTGGAGTTGACTCAATAGTTTAACACCAGATGACGCCCTTTCTTTCTCTAAAGGGAACAGTTCACCAGGTGACAATAATCCAAATATATTTTTACATGTGTACATGTACAGCCCATTTTGTCAATGTACTGCTGGATGAGGGTCTCCCTAAACTATGAAGGCTGTGGCGGGGGATTACTTTATTATACGCCATCATTCCGGTCAGTGTGGGTTAGTGAAGCAAGAAAGCAAAGTTGCGGGAGCATATCAGTACGGTACAACAATGTATTTTTTTTTCCGCACTGCCATCTACTGCCCACCACGTCGCTGCAATATATTTCATGAGATGTATTTACTTAGCAAGGCCTCGCCGAGTCAAGATTCCTCGTCACAAGGATCCTGCAGCATTGGAACGTTTGAACAATTTGAGTATTTTTCCACGTGGAAAGAAACAGAGGGAAAAAACCTACATCTACAACGAAGTTAAGATTCAACTATCTACAGCGAGCTCGGCAACCTACTTCATATCTTTCCCTTCCACGGGCCATTTCACAGTCCCTGTAGGATGGGGGTCTCGCACACAACGACATCTGCACAGCAACACCACACCAACCTCCAAAATCATCAATATCTCAGGCCTGTGCCACAAATTTCAGACACACAAAGCGACTGGACAGATACATGGTGTTAATGAAGCGCCATTACCAGTCCCCAGGGACAATTATAACGACAATTACAAACAGTAATGTACATTTCCAATTACAATGCGACCACAATCCATCACAAATTTGCAGTTGTTATAATTTGTAATGATTGACCCCTGGTCCGGCCATTTACTTTGGAGAGGTCAGCAAACAACGTGCATCAACAGCAGCAGAGAGGGCTTGGCCTTAATTGCTCACGGTTTTAGGAGCCGACACTTGTCACATGGGATAGGCATTAATCCCACTGCTGGACACATCCCGGGCGGCACGTCACGAGCGGTTGGGGAATTCACGTGCGAACCCTCTGACAGCCTCCACCATCGTCCCAGCCTCGGCGCTCATCCGAGCCAAATGCGGGAATCATGGTAATGGGAAAGCCCGAAAATAACCTCAGGGTGGCAAGAAGGGCTGGTGCGGGGAGAGAAGGGGGAGGAGGTGTGTGGGGGGGGGGAGCGGGATCGGAGGGGAAGGGTGGAGAGTCCAAATGCTGTAAAATTGCATCGCACATCACACTCCGTCTGGCCTGCTTGTTATTAAGATTTAAGTCGGCAACAATGTGGCTTCCATACATCCATGCCCCGACCAGACAACCAATATATGATAATGGGGGGGGGGGGGGGGATAATGTGGCTGGGTGGCTTAAGGAGTGGACACCGCTCAAAGCATGGGTTTCAATCTGGCTTTCAGCCACCTGCGATTATTTTGAAATCATTAACACTGACCACAGGCCCAAAGGCTCAAAGAACCCAAAATGCCAGTGATAAACAACAGCACTCTTAAAAGGCTTAATAGAAATGCATTAATGCCTTTATTGAACCGAGCGAGGTAATAAAAAAAATTGTGTACAAATATGATGGGAGGGAATGCCAAAGTCGCAGTTGCTAGGAAAGAAATCAAGACTTGAACTGTGGTATGGATGAGACGAAGCAGTCAGTGAGGTAGACCGAATCCTCAACATGGGTGGAGGAAGCAAGTTCATGGGAACAGAATCTATGGTAGTAGCGATAGAGGAGCGGTAAGGAGGCGACCGACTTCCAGTGAGTGAGTGACTGGGGCGAATCGGTGAGGTGGGAACTGAACCGAGTGCTCCATCCCAGATATTAAACCAGTTTCTCAAGTTCATCGAGGCGATCATCTCTCTGTGTGGTCACCGATGACTGCACAACAAACCAATCGTATCAAATCAGTTTTTTGTACTGAAATGCAAAACGTTCCAGCTCCAAGCATTAAAACCATTCAGTTTGCCATGCGATAATCTTTGTGGTAAGTAAGCGGTGCAAAGCGTAGCGTTAAATTAGAGTACAGCAGTTATAAAAGTGACTTTCCTCGTACGACATGATCTGCTGCTAGCTGCAAATAATTCGAAATGGAAATGCCTGCTTCTCGTGGCACGCCGCCTTTAGCGCGCAATTCAAATATAAATAAAGATAACAAAAACAATGCAATTGGGCTGCTTAAATCAGACTCTTCCTGGGAGTCATTCCAGGAGAGCAAGCTGAACCCTGATAAGCCACGAAGCTCAGTTTGAACGAACGGTACTCACAGGGCCCTACGCATGAATCAGCTGCACTGTGGAGCCGCTGTGTGGAATCGCACTGCATGGTTGGCCGGCTGGCTTGTATAAAAGACAAAGTTTTCCCGAATAGCCTTAACAAACTGTTGGGGCAAGTGCTGTTTACGAGCATCTTTGAAGGCCGGAATGGCAAATTATGGGGTGGGTGGCCAGTACCACACCCAGCAGCCTTTGGTCTCCCAAGTGGCGATGTTTACACACCGTGCCAGATACTTGTTTGGAGGCTGAGTCGACGCAGGTGAGGCAGAGGACCGATTCTGATAAGCGTCACTGGTATCGAACTAAGCTGGAATCGAACTGGGGTCACCGGATTCGTAGCGCAACATGCTAGCCGCTAAACTACCGCTGGCTGGTATGAATGCACACACACACACACACGCGCATGCAGCTTCACTGCACAAGGCTGGCAACTTATACGGTTTATAAAGGGGGCAGTCTTGTTTACTTTACTCCTCTTAACAACGCTGTGTGAAATTGACAAGGCACGCACCATATTGTCATCCAGAATTCAAGAGAAACAAATTTGCCTCAATTAACTTAAAATAAGCACTACATTTTCACAGCAGTTTCCCAGCAAAGATTAAGCCAGCGTTGGTCCAACGGTCCCAACCATATGCCAGCACTGGCCCAACATTGGGCACGTCTACTGGATTAGATGGCCACTTGCGTTTTACAATTCCAAATATTTAAATTGCTTCTCGCTCATTACTTGCACATAGGCACAGTAAAAAATGTATTACATTTATATCAGAAAAATATATCGAATCTATTGTCCTCTAACGCAGTAGTCTACCTTTGCAATATACAGTGTTGCACTGCAAAATATGTTTTGGATATATGACCAGGTTCTCCATATATTATAGAAATAAATAATGTGCCATGGGTGGCGATGCTTGTGAACCACTGCCAATGCTGTGGCTATTTATTTTTGTATGAATATACGGAGCATCTGGTTGTTATTTGTCTGTGAGCATTTGTACAGACTAAAACCATAATTTTAACACGATTTACATGAGGAAATTAATGCAATTGCATTAGACGAATGTGTCTTATCTGATAGTACAGGTATTGCCAAAATTCACTTAAGTGTATGTTACAAAACAATGCAATGTTTGGTGATATTTGATTTACAATTGCATTCAATACCAACATCGATCTTGGGGTAACATAACTACTTACGTAGACACTGACCATACGTACATACCTAGACGTACATTTGTGCACAACATACCGTACGGACGTTGACTTTAGCTGCTCGCTAACGCACCTTTTCTAAGTAATGCATGCAGAACTTCTTTCACACCGTACGTAGACAAATGATCTAAATCAGATAGATTTACCCTGACCGTAAAGTGGCATAACGGGCACAGCAATAAGCGGGTCAAACTCAACGTCGCTGCTCTTGAGGCCACGGCTCGAGCCGGCGAGCAGCCGGTGATCTCTCGTCGCCACGTCTCGCCGGGGAGCGGAGCGGAACGCCGGGTCGGGTCGGGGGGTGATGGGGGTAAGGAGTCCAGGCGACATAAATTTGCACCGAAATGTTTTCGCCCGACGGAGCCCGCAAAAAGGTCTGCCCCGTCAAAATGCCACCTTCGGAAAGGGCCTCCCCTTCAAGCAGTCCCATCCGATTAGAGGGGCGCCGCGGAGAGAGGGGACACGTGATGCGCACGTCCACTCGCGTTTGCATTCGGCAGACGGAGCGGCCGGCGAAAGAATGGCGCGGTCGACACCGCGAGGCATGAACCTGTCACGGCGCACCACTCTACAACCCGCTAACTAGTTTGCATTTTCATTTTTTTTATTATTATTATTATTGTTGTTGTCATGAATGCGCCGCTTCCAGGCACACGAGCGTTTCGTGACCAGCAAGAGATACGACGGTGAGCAAATGTTTCGTGGGATCACGCAAATGTGTATCCGAATAATTGTACAATTGAAGGAATAAAAAATCCCACAGGGCTCCGAAAGACTCTGGCGAGTGTCCCATGCTCCGGGCGGATACCGTGATTGTTATTGTACCCAAAGGCTGCGCGAATGTGAGATGTATGGTTCGTTTCAGGATGTTGCTGTCGTAATAAGTGCAATAAAATAACCGCGGCGACATCGCAAAATGTATATCACCGACACAGAAACTAACATTTTAAAAAATGCACAAATACAATATATATTTAATAAATTATATAGATAATACATTATTATAATGTTAATTTATACACCAAATATGAACAAATCGAAATGCTCGTATAGGGTATTTCCTTTCCACTGTAAATCAATCTGCTTAATACTGATAACGTGTGCATTATGTTTAAAATCATGTAAATCAATTAAATTTAGCTTAATAGCAATAATAATTAAGAGAACTCTGAATGAAGGACAACTTCCCCCACACGGTGTTGGTCATGGGGGTGTTTCACCGTACGTCACCACACTGGTCAGTGCAGATTGGTGAAGGGGGAGGAGCCCAGGACCGGTTCAGATATCACTTGCCAATGATGTCAGCTATGGCCGGGAATCAAACTCAGGACTAATGGGTATTAGCACAGTGTACTAATCATCCATCATATAGGTTTTATTGAGTTAGATATTTACGCGATTTAACCCAAATTATGTTTTTATTATGTACGATATTGGTCGCGAAAAGCCTACGTGTTAAAGCATGCTAACCACTCCACCACCTCTCCGCCCCAATGTACAAACACAAGAAAGATGTAAACATTATCCATGAACCCATACGACTGAAGTTCGATTAAACCATAACGAGTTAAAGAATTTGAGACGTAAAAGTTCAGCTTTAAAGAAATATCATAAATACATAAGACCCTTCTCAGTGCCTTTAACAATGGCCACATTGCAGAACAGCCAACCATTTAAATGCAACCCAGCCATTTGCAGACACATGGCCAGAATTCCTCTCTCTGGGTTTCCCCCCCCCCCTTCTCGCTGCAGCTCCATTGAACACACAGGATGTCAGGAAATGAGAAACACCAGGAAGGAACAAACTGCCATGGCTTTCCTAGAAAACCCCTGTACACACCAACAGCCGAGCCTTTCACATGCTCACCTGACCTGCCATTGCCGCTAAAATGCTTACCGACAACATGTCGCACTCAGATTGTACAAGTTGTGGCTTGCCTCTCCAACACACCGGTGTGCTGTACTAGTGACGAAATGGCACGTTCTGTTTACATGACAACCCTTACGAGTTGGCTGTGTCGGGTGGTGGCGGGTTTTAACGACACATTTATAAATTTACGCGATCTAACAACCAAAAAAACCTCTATGATGAACTATCCATATTGTTTGCCATCTCAGATATATCATAATTAAAAAAAAAAAATTGTTCACAGCCCTTTTGTTGTTCTTAATCCACTGCTGCGTGAAGGTCTCCTGAAGCCACGTCAGTTGTGAGGGTTCTTTGACCATATTTCACCACGCTGGTCGGTGTGGGTTGGTGAACGATGGTGGGGGGGGAGGGGGGGCAGAGGGAGGGATCGAACTGAGGTCGCCAGGTTTGTAGTGCAGTGCGCAGAACTCCATAATAGTGTTCCCCCGTCCCTCATTGATCAAACGCGACAAATAATAATTTCAATACAAAATATATTTTTTATAATTTTAATACAAAATATATTTATTTTTGTCTGTTGCTTAGCGGGGAAAAAATATTTCTATATTTTGAGTGTCAACCATTTTGAAAGAGTTTCCTTCAGAGTGAGATTAGAAGGGACGAGGAGTGAGGGATTTGCTAACGCCAGAGCTGGAATGAAGCATCTTTGCGTCAATTCATATCGATCACGATACACGCATAGAATAATGTGTAAGAATATATGGTGCAATTGAGAAATGTCCAGCGAATACCAGAAATCCTGAAAAATTGTTTAAAAACACAACCTCTACATGAATCGGACCAGTTAATTTTATATGTAGGCTTTCACAACCGATATTTTGATTCATCATTGGTTTATTTTGGGTTAGATCGTGGTGTGGGGAAAATATATTTTTTTACAAAAACCCTCCACCACCCGACGACAGAGCCAATCAAAGCAACTTCTCACGTGGGCAAATATTCCCAGCTCCCACCAGAGCCGAGCTTTTGTTGAACACCCGATGATGCTGGTCCTAATCTCCAGCGAAAGTTCGTACATTTTTCTCGCTTGGCAAACATTCGCTATGGTTTTTGCTCATAAACCAAGTCACACTCTTGGGTTCTTTCGGTAAGGTCACGTAGTTAGAAATAAAATAAAACAAATCACGACGTTTCGGGCACAACACAAGCGTCCGTCATCAGGTGGGACAACCACAGCAGGAAACAATTGCTGAAGTGGACGAGTCAATCGGCACATTTGACCACGACGTGACAACTTGATTTGATTGGCCTGTCAGGTGGTGGAGAGGTTAGCTATCGTTAATATTTTACACAATACCTACACGACGATTCGAGCCAAAAGAAACTCCCAAATACGAATCACGAATCGGGCCCCGTCTGAACGCTCGACGACTCGCCGTTCACATACGGGTCTCCCCTGTGCAGCAAATGCCATCGCAAGCCTCACAGCGGACTCTCGCCCCAGGAGGAGGGGTTAAATAAGAGCATGAGGCGTACCTTGTCTCCCTGCTGCGGTCTCATGAGAGACACCCGATCGTAGCCGCGCCGTAAAAGCACCCAGATGGCATCGAGCTTCCCCTGGGAAACAAGAGGACAACAGCAAGAACACCACACGGCCGGCAGGAACTCCGTTAATCCAGCATCCAAACCCAACCGCGGCCGTGTATCTGTCCACATCTATACGAGCATCGTGTTGGTCTTAAAAAACAATACGTATTTACGGTTCTTTGTCAATCCACGACTGTTTTTGTATCGCTTGTTGTTCTAACGTTGTAACGTTACAACGTTCTTACCCGCCCCTACTGGACATCTGGGAAAGAAAGAGCTTGATAACTCATCCGATTCCTCCAGAATACATAAATACTCTGGATGAAGGTCCGCCCCATGAAGTGCCAGTCATGAGTACTGTTTGACTGTTTCACCGGCACTTCACTGTGCTGGCCAACGCAGGGTGGTGGAGAGAGGGTCCCAGGACTACCTCGGATAATCATTCGCCACAGCCGTTAGCCGTCGCCGGGAATCAGAATCAGAATCTTTATTTATGCTGGAGAAATACGATGAGCTATCGAAGCTCTGTTTCATAGATGTCCAGTAGGGGTGGGTAAAAACATTACAACAACCAAACAATACGAAAAAACGATCAGAGTTCAAAGCAAATCTCTAAACATAAATACATAATATATCAAAAACTCAGGCTCACAGATTTAAAAAAAGCAGACTACTCTGGCATTGGTCTGCCCCACGTGATAATAAAGATGTATTACAATGGCAACAATGCACATGTCTGCGTACCGCCCATGCTTGCTTGTAGGTAGACTCAACCTGTAATGAGTACCTGATGCGCTGAGTAAATGACGTCAGCACTACGGAGATGCTCACGAATATCACTTGCGGCAAAGTCTGTTAAAAGCTATGATGGCGATCATAGTCTTTGGTGTCTGCAGGTCGACTCTGGTCTTAAATAAGTATGTGGTGTGGTGTGGAATGTAGACCTCGGCAGTAGGGGAGTCGTGTTTACCACAGTGACACAGGCCTTCACAGTTGCTCACTCACAATAATTGCCCCAACAATCTGATGAGAGGCTACACGGGGGATTTTGTCTTGGTGTCTGTAGTGGGGAGTGGTAGCACTGTGGTTCGTGAAGTGCCATGAACCCAGCTAGCAGAGTTGTATTCCCGGCCAGATTCCTACTCGTATATATACAGATAGTCCCCGAGTTACGATGGTCCGACTTACGATATTTCGATCTTACGATGGCGATAGCGATGCGACAAAATTGCAAAATATTTTACATTTCGCGCGGCAGGCAAACGCAGCAGCGTACGAAGCTTGTTGAGTACAGTAGAATATGATACGTTACGATACGTTCAATGAATGTATGATACGTAGCTTTAGCAATTTCAGTTTAGGGTTACCACGGTACGATACGTTCAATGCATGTTAAACATTTTTTATATAGCTGATAGGATTGTTTCCTGAAAAAACTTTCTATTAAATTGCAGTTCATATAGGTAGGCTAAGAATTTACCTTGGTTTTTTTTACTTTACATTTTACTTTGCAATACAGTATTGCAATTAATAAATACATACAGTATATAGTTTATGCAGTACGGTACTGTAAATTGCTCTGTTTTACTAAATTATCACCATTCTTTAAGACTGCTGGGTAGGCTAGGCCATCTTCGACTTACGATATTTTTGACTTACGATGGGGTCGTCGTAACGCATCTCCATCGTTCGTAAGTAGAGGACTACCTGTATATATAACACTGGATATCCTCTCGGACATCGCAGCCTCCTCACAATGTGTGAAAATCAGTGGGTCTCTTCACCATCGGACTTGACGCGTGTTTTACGTTAAAGGATATGTGTTTTATGTATACATGTTGAACTTTTTTCACACCGTACGTAGCCAACCGTGCTAATCGGATGTGTGGGGGGAAGGACAACAAATTAAACACAAAAAAGCTATTCTAAAGAAATACGTTTTAAATCTAGATTAAAAAATAACGCTTGACAAAGAAGTCATAAGTCATCAGTGGGGTGGAGTCGTGAATAGCGGCACTGCACTCCCCACCAAATGGCCAGAGGTTGATTCCCAGGGCCATAGCTAACATCAGTGAGCGAGCAATATCTTGAAAGGGTTCGGGGGGGGGAGGCGTGGCCAAGGGTGGCCACCCCCCCCCCATCACAACCCCCACACTGACGAAGCGTGGTGAAGTATGGTAAAAACAACAGCCACGACACAGGCGACGTTTGGCAAGGCGTACGTCCGGCGGCAGAGCGAGCACGCGCGCTTGCGAGCGGGTAGGCGAAGCGTCGCACGAGCGACCCCCACCTTGATGGGAGTGTACCACTTGCGTGGCGGCTGCCGTTGGTGCTTGGGTTTGCTGGGGCCCGTTCGGAGCGGCTCGAACTCCTCCTCGGGGAGCTTGATGACGGCGTTCTTGGGTTTCTCCAGCTTGGCGCCCTCCTCGGTGGAGCCCTTATCCCCCCAGCGCACCTACGCACGCACAGACGAGAGAGCGCGCCCGTGTGACTGGTTCGCTTAGGTGCTGCTGTAGCCGGTGTGAGCACGTGTAATATTGCACTCGGCTGCTACGTGTTGCTCTAATTTCTACAGAGACAGATGCGTTTTTTTAAAAATAATAAGTGAAGGCAATGGATGATCAGAGAATGGACCCCAAGCCTCACGTGAACAGCAGGCCACGCCCAGCAGTGAATTTTTTTGCGCAATCGTATTGTGATCAGGCTCTACTCGAGAAATTAGTTTAATCACGGGCAGCTGGATTTGAACCCAAGAGCTCGCGACACATGCGCCACCCAGTCACCTTGAAGTGGAAATTCCTTTGAAAAAAAGAGCAACACGATCGAGGGTGTCGTCAAACAGCTGTGAAAGTAGGCCAAGAGTCAGCGCGAGGCCTCAGGGCAGCGCTCTTCACTAATTTTTCAAGGGGAGGGGGCACTTTCACCGATAAGGCATCGTCAGTGTGAGGGCTGCCAAACCACCTGCAAGGGGTGTTTTATCACATTTGTGTATCGTCTGGGCCTTGCGATGAAAAACACTGCCTCAGGGCTTCTGTCACCTCCATTCTCTTAATGCCTCCAACTCCACGGCCCCCGTAATAAGACGCGTCCACCGTTGGCCACTTCTTCTTGGGCATTTCATCATCTGACGAGTCCTGAGCACGCGCACATACGGACATAGCCAACATGTGAATGACGGAAGACTGAACAATTTCTAACGAGTCAACGTAATATTTCTTAAGGACACCAACGAGGTGTGCACGACGCTCAAATGTTAAGTCACAAAACTGTACGCTGTAAGGACCAAGGTGCTCTGTTTAGCCTTACAAATTGTTACGTGATGCCCATTGTTAATCTACTGCTGGATGAAGTCCTCGCCATGCCATGTCAACCGTGAGGCTTGTGTGAACATACTTCACCGTGGAGCGTGGGTTGGTGAAGGTGTGGGCGGGGAGATGGGGGGGGGTTAGGATCGCTTAAGATATCACTCGCCATTGACATTTGCTGTGGTTGGTAGTCCAACCCAGGTTGTCGGGGTTTAAAGCCTAGCGCGCTAACCAGTGCACCACCACTCGACTCACAGTGCTATTCGAGAGCACCATTGTCACACAATGCAGTAGTCTGACCAGCACCATGGCTGCCCAGCCACATTCACCTCTCCAATTAAATATTCTAATTAGCACTGGATAATCAGTTCAGGCTGAGGTGACCTAAAGAAGGTCCAATTCAGGAAACAATATCAATCGCGACTTGTATTGAGCATCAAGGCCAGGAATATAACGATCACCGCACTTGCCCCCGTTAGTATTAACAGTTTGTCTATAGTTGTAATTGTATTCTTGGTTCTTTCGGTAAAGTCACGTAGAAGGGAAATAATAATAATACAAATTATTGCTGTGGTTTTCACACCTGATGATGATTGCTTGTGTTGCAATCGAAACGTCGTGAGAATTGTATTGTTTTATTATTTTATTATTTCCCTTCTACGTAACTTTACCAAAAGAACCAAGAATATGAATCCCTGCAGTCACGAAAGCTTTAAATCGAAATTTAAAGTTGTAATTGTGTTTATAGTTTACGTGATCCTGTTTGCCATTGTACGGTAGTTGTTTTTATTACGTAAATAAACACTTAAAAAGGAAGCAAACCTCAGTCTCTGGGACCATAGCAAAGTACACCAACCTCGATTCAACTTTCATCCCAAATGTTTTAAACACAAACATATTATACATGTACAGCCCCTTATGTCACTCCACCATTGGGCGAGAGGTCTGGCCACTGTGTGGGTCATGAGGTCATTTGACCATACTTTACCTCGCTGGCAAGCGTGGGTATGTAAAGGTAGAGAGCAAAGAACTAAACCTATGAACAATATGTATTTTTCCAGGTAAGGCCCACTGAGCTATATAGTTTTAAAACAGTCTGCCTCAGCAGCAGACCACGCTTTCCCACCTGATGACGGACGCTTTTGTTGCGCCCGAAACGTCGTGATTTACTTTATTTTATACCTACGTGACTTTACCGAAAGAACCAAAGAGTATGGATTCCTGCAGTCACGAAAGCTTCAAATCAAAATTTTATAGCTCCTTTTCAGAAGTGACCTGGCTATCACAAATGATAGCTCTACGAAGTGGCCCATCACGTGGACAATTATAGCAGCCAAGTACTCTTAAACTCACGTTTCTTTTTGATTTTTGTGTTCAGTTTGCCGTCCTTCCGCCACACCTCTGATTAGCACGGTTGGCTATGTACAGCGCAAAAGTTTAACACGCATATATACACGACCGCTCCCCAAGCAGACAAAACCACCCGTCACATTAAGCTAAAACGTATAACGCTCATATTAATAGATGTTCTAGGTGCACTGCCTTAAGTTATGAAAACCTAACATTTCAAACTCTCAACCGTAGTGCTTAGGATCGTTTTTTTTCTGGCTGCGATCTCCCCCTTTCCGCAGCCGCTTGCAGCTGTGCGCAAAAAACTCCGGGACAAATTCGAGCCTGAGTGCAAACAAAAAAAATTAAGTTACCTTATTTTTATTGGCAGCGCAATTAAATATTCCGTACTGTATGCTGTCGAGAAGTTGCAATGACATGCCTTGCGGTCACGGCAGATGGTCAGCTGGAAAATATGTGGCAAGGCTGCTGGCTTGCTGCTGCTCCTACTACTTCACTCTCAGTGCCCTGGCTGAAAATGTTTCATTTTTACACAAAAAATTTGCACTTAACAAATAAAGAGAGATGATTCCCTGGGCGGAATGGTTCGCGCACTGCAACCGGAAATGCAGAGGTTGCTGGTTCGACCCCATCCCCTGGCGTGGCATTTGAAACGATGGATAGAGTTCATTGAATTAATCCATCGCCTTGGTCCACTCAGCAGCAAGTATAAATGGGTCAGCCGCAGATGAGACGATCGGCAGGCTCGTGTGTGTGGTTGGATAAAGTTTGGGTTAGTGCCACCTCTTCCAAGACACCAGGGCCAGTGTGGAAGAGTAGGCCAAATCTCATCGAGAGCTGCCTCAAGCGGAAGTCCTTCTGCCGTTACAACTGCTCTGAGAAAAAGGGTCAATAACAAAATCGATGTCCTACCAAATACTGTATACCGTATTTTGTTAGAAGGCAGTATCACTCATGAAGATGGTGAGTTATTTAATTGATTTAGTTACGCTTCCAAATATGGGTTGCACTACCCAGCTGGACTTCTATTATGAAATCCGGCATTCCGTTTGTCCATTTGTCCATCAACTAAATTATGAGAGCCTTTGAGAAGGCCCGAATCAAAAAGTTATAGAAAGTGGACTCCACCCCCTCCCCCCAGATGTAGGAGTTCAAAGTTGATCCAACAGGTTTACAAAAATTGTCGACCCCTACACACAATTGAGTCTGCACACATTGGGGGGGGGGGGGGCGGGAAGAAGAGGACATGAGTGGGGGTGACGGGCGAAGCGCCGAGAAGCCCTACGTAGGAGCGAGAATTTCGGTCGTCGAAATTCTCGCAGCTCAAAAACGAATACTTCAGTTAAAATGGCTGAACTACTTTTCACGGATTAGGAAACAAGGCTATTTAATTAAAAAGGTTTGGCTGAAGAGCCAATGTGCATTTAATCACACATGTGTGCTGTGAATCTGAGCCACACACACGTGTGCATGAATGCAATACCAAATGCATTAGTTACAACTTTGTATAAATGCGGCCAAACGTGCAGTGCATTGAATTCGAATGTGCTTAGCTGTGAGTTCATGTGATTGTTGTGTACTATATTAAACATTAATCGAGGCAATTGCAGTGAGGAGTATAGCGTAATACCAGAATGTAATGTTAAGTTGAGCGAACATGTGCGTGTGAGATAGTGAAATGTAGTTCACAGTAGTACCTCTCCTCTCTCATCTCACTCTACTCCCCTCCACACACTCTCCTACCTCTCATCTCACTCTACTCCCCTCCACACACTCTCCTACCTCTCCCCCCTCATCTCACTCTACTCCCCTCTACAAACCCTCCAACTCCAGCTACCAAGGCTTTCTGTCGAAGGACAACCATTGCGCAGTGGGAGGTCGACTCATTCCCCTTCTGCTGTCCTTATAATCTGGAAATCCCTTCAACTGCTGCGGTGACCTCTGGATTGCAAGTCCAGCATGCTAATCATCACACCACGGTAGCGCGTCCCACTGCAGGAGGAATCCGATCTATTTTAATCTTTATCCAGCGAATGCTCCTCGAGTCACGATTGTTCTCTTCTGCAGGAGAGTCTTGCATTTCACTGAAAACAAATTTCTCTTTTTATGTTTTCATTTTCAATAAAACATCTGATAATATACAAATACTCTGCATACAAATTGCTGGTTAACTTAAAATACACAAATATTTTAACGGAAGGCAATAACATTATTGATTCAATTTCCAGTCCGTGGGAAGACTCACAATCCGGTGCATGAATTATATATGATTATTAATGACACCAATAGGGCCCTTCATTATCCAGAAGGAATCTAAAGTTCTAAACTTAGCATGTTTTAGCTGCTTAAAGAGAATGTACATTTGTTACAAAGGAAAAAATGCTTAATTTGAAATAAACAGAGTTGTAACTGAATCCATGATTCATCAATCATCAAAAAAATGGTCAATCCACTGCTGGATGAAAGCTTTCCCGAAGCTGCCACCACCTCTGACGAACCTACGATGTAACAAAGACAAAGATCCCCCAGACAGCCTTTAACAGACCCTTGGAGCAACTGCTGTTAGCGAGCACCTATAAAGGCCGGCACTGCACACATGGTGGTGGGTGCCCCACACCACGGACCTTTTGCCTCGCCCAGTATTGATGTTTACGCACCGCACCAAGTGCTCATTTGAGGCTGAGTTGACCTAGGAGAGACCCGGGACCGGTTCAGATATCCGTCACCGTTGTCGGTCGTGAGCGGGAATTGAACTCGGGTCGCCGGTTTCGGGCGCTAACAACCACATCACAGCTCACCACTGCGATGCAACAATCCGATTTCATCACTCCATCTCCTCGGCAGACGTCTCCTCGGATGCATCAATTCACTTAACAACAACAAAAAACCCCCAGCTGTTTCCTTCTCAATTGAACGTGGGGGTGGGTGCTCTGTTCACAGCCCTGACCCAGCAGTTGATATTCCACATTCCTGTGGTAGGGGGCGAGTCTTTCCATCTCACAGCCGCTGTCACAACGTCCCAATAAAGCACTGCTCATTTGAAACAACCCTGCAGGTACGATGGGCTGAGCCGACCCCGGACAAGGATTGGATTCGTAACCTTGTAAGCAACGTACCCCCCCCCCCCCCCCCCCCCCCCCCCCCCCCCAATCTCGCTGTGCCACCTGGGCAGATCAAACACAAACTCAACATACTCTTTGGTTCTTTCGGTAAAGTCACGTAGGTATAAAAATAAAATAAATCACGACGTTTCGGGCGCAACGCAAGCGTCCGTCATCAGGTGGGAAAGCAACCAAATCAAGGTTAAAAACTCAACAATTGTTTTTATTTTAACCAGGTAGGGCCCACTGAGCTATGTAGCTCTTTTTCAGAAGCGACCTGGCCACAAATAATAGCTCAACGAAGTGGCTTATCAAGTGGACATTTTTAGCAGCCAAATACTCTGAACGCATGTTGATTCTAAATTTGTCAAGGAAACA